AGGGGCCCTCTACCTTGCCCCAGTAATGAATTGAAGCACACTTCAAAGATAAGGGGTATAATAGCTGACCTTTAACCTGTATATTAAAACACAAAGTGAAAAACAACAAAGTTCAGGTTAGCTAACTGGCCCCTTCCTTTCCCAGGGAACCTTCAAAAACAGGCAAATGGTTCTCTCTAAGGTCCTTATCCTTTCACTAGTGTTACTTTGTTCTAGTAGCCAAAGATGCTTTCAAAATAAATGCTTGAAATACGTCCCCCACCCATGGCACCACTTGGTGGTACCACTACAGCCCCATTCGCACAGTTTGCCCAAGTAATGATTTGAAGCACACTTCAAATATAAGGGGTATAATAGCTGACCTTTATCCGTATATTAAAACATGAAGTGAAAAACAACAAAGTTCTGGTTAACTAAATGGCCCCTTCCTTTCCCAGGAACCCTTCAAAAACAGGCAAGTGGTTCTCCCTAAGGTCCTTAACCTTTCACTAGTGTTACTTTGTTCTGGTAGCCAAAGATGCTTTCAAAATGAATGCTTGAAATACGTCCCCCACCCATGGCACCACTTGGTGGTACCACTACAGCCCCATTCTGATAGCGGGAAATGATAGTCCTATGGGCCCTCTACCTTGCCCCAGTAATGATTTGAAGCACACTTCAAAGATAAGGGGTATAATAGCTGATCTTTAACCGTATATTAAAATATAAAGTGAAAAACAACAAAGTTCAGGTTAGCTAACTGGCCCCTTCCTTTCTCAGGGACCCTTCAAAAACCAGGCAAGTGGTTCTCTCTTAGGTCCTTAACCTTTCACTAGTGTTACTTTGTTCTGGTAGCCAAATATGCTTTCAAAATGAATGCTTGAAATACGTCCCCCATCCATGGCACCACTTGGTGGTACCACTACAGCCCCATTCTGATAGCGGGAAATGATAGTCCTAGAGGCCCTCTACCTTGCCCCAGTAATGATTTGAAGCACACTTCAAAGATAAGGGGTATAATAGCTGACCTTTAACCTGTATATTAAAACACAAAGTGAAAAATAACAAAGTTCAGGTTAGCTTACTGACCCTTTTTCTTCCCAGGGACCCTTCAAAAACCTGGCAAGCGGTTCTCCCTAAGGTCCTTAACCTTTCACTAGTGTTACTTTGTTCTAGTAGCCAAAGATGCTATCAAAATGAATGCTTGAAATACGTCCCCCACCCATGGCACCACTTGGTGGTACCACTACAGCCCCATTCGGATAGTGGGAAATGATAGTCCTATGGGCCCTCTACCTTGCCCCAGTAATGATTTGAAGCACACTTCAAAGATAAGGGGTATAATAGCTGACCTTTAACCTGTATATTAAAACACAAAGTGAAAAACAACAAAGTTCAGGTTAGCTTACTGGCCCCTTCCTTTCCCAGGGACCCTTCAAAAACAGGCAAGTGGTTCTCTCTAAGGTCCTTAACCTTTCACTAGTATTACTTTGTTCTAGTAGCCAAAGATGCTTTCAAAATGAATGCTTGAAATATGTCCCCCACCCATGGCACCACTTGGTGGTACCACTACAGCCCCATTCGGATAGCGGGAAATGATAGTCCTATGGGCCCTCTACCTTGCCCAAGTAATGATTTGAAGCACACTTCAAAGATAAGGGGTATAATAGCTGACCTTTATCCGTATATTAAAACATAAAGTGAAAAAAAAGAAATTTAAGGTTAGCTTACTGGCCCTTTCCTTTCCCAGGGACCCTTCAAAAACAGGCAAGTGGTTCTCTCTAAGGTCCTTAACCTTTCACTAGTGTTACTTTGTTCTAGTAGCCAAAGATGCTTTCAAAATGAAAGCTTGAAATACGTCCCCCACCCATGGCACCACTTGGTGGTACCACTATAGCCCCATTCGGATAGTGGGAAATGATAGTCCTATGGGCCCTCTACCTTGCCCCAGTAATGATTTGAAGCACACTTCAAAGATAAGGGGTATAATAGCTGACCTTTAACCTGTATACTAGTATTAAAACACAATGTGAAAAACAACAAAGTTCAGGTTAGCTTACTGACCCTTTTTCTTCCCAGGGACCCTTCAAAAACCTGGCAAGTGGTTCTCCCTAAGGTCCTTAACCTTTCACTAGTGTTACTTTGTTCTAGTAGCCAAAGATGCTTTCAAAATGAATGCTTGAAATACGTCCCCCACCCATGGCACCACTTGGTGGTACCACTACAGCCCCATTCTGATAGCGGGAAATGATAGTCCTATGGGCCCTCTACCTTGCCCCAGTAATGATTTGAAGCACACTTCAAAGATAAGGGGAATAACTCTGACTTTTAATCCATAAATCAATAGACAAAGTGAAAAACAACAAAGTTCAGGTTACCTAACTGGCTTTTTCTAGTCATTGAAACCTGTCAAAAAGTTGACAAGGGATACTCCCTAAGGCCCTTAACTTTTTTCCAGTTTAGTGTTAGTTTGTTCTAGTGGTCAATGATGGTTGAAAAATGAAAGCTTGAAATATGTTCCCCACCGTTGGCACCACTTGGTGGTGCCACTACAGCCTCATACCGATTGCGGGAAATGATAGTCCTAGAAATCTATCTTGCCACAGTAATGATTTAAAGCACACCACACTTATAAGATAAGAGGTATGATAGCTGCTTGAAATATGTAACCCACCCTTGGCACCACTTGGTGGTACCACTTCAGCCTAATTTTCATGTCCGTATATAATAGCCCTGTGGACCCTTTACTTTGTGCCAGTAATTGTTCGAAGCACATTTCAAGGATAATAACTTAAAATAGATTAAATTACCTTCAAGCCCTTATCAATGTAAATATTAGGAGTAAGCAAATTTCAGGTTAGCCTTTTGGCACCATCATGTTCCTGAGACCCGTAAAAGAGCTTAAAAGGGATTCTCCCGGAAGTACTTAACCTATTTCCAATGTTGGTTTATTCTTAAGCGGTCAAAGATGGTGACATTTTCTCTCTCTCTTTTTTTGTTTTGTTTGTTTGTTTGTTTTGAAACCGCATAATTTTCCTTATGCAGGTGAGCTTAACTGCCTCCAACTGTTTGAATTATTAAATAATTAAGTGTTGCATTAATTATCTAATTATTAATTATCAATTGTCGAAAATGAGCCATTAAACAGTATTGCGTCAGAGTACTCTCAGTCCTTTGATGAATTTCCTTATTGGCTGCTAGCTTCTACGGGCTTAATGGCTGCTGTTATTGGCTGCTAGCTTCAGTCTAGTCATGCAGGGATTTATCAGCCTATTTTGGGAAACGCCATTTTTGGGGAATTGGGAAAAAATTATCGGCTTTTTGATGAAATTGGGAAAAATTAAAAATGTTGCTTAAATCATGTATTCAGGTGTAATTCATTTAATATTTCAGCATGAACTCTAATTTGGGCAATGAAACAGACAATTATACATGTATATGATCCAACTTCATACATGATCAATTATGAATAACAGACTAATAAAAGTAAAATTGACTTCAATGAGTATAAAGTGTTTATACAACTTAGGGTAGTACATGTGTGTATGAGATTCCAATTCAGGTCATTACAGAATCTGTTTCTGGAAAATATAAACATCCTGCAAGTACATATTTTCTCAAAGTCCTCTTTTAATATGTATAAATGCATTGAAAATATATTTTTCTATTTGAAATAATGCCTACAGTCCTTACCATTCACTTGTAGATCAATTGAGTATGTAGACATAACTTAATAAATCTATATAAATACACAATATCACCATTTTCAGAAAAACGGAGGAAATTCGGATTAAAAGTTGGCGATGTTTTTACAGTGTTTTTAAACGTGTTATGACTGTAGCTTTGCTAAATGACTTAAATAGAAGAAAATTACAGACGATCTGACAATTTTCCTTGTGTTTTTCCAGGATAATTAAATATAAAAGCATTGTTCACCAATTGGGAAAAAATACTGCCAAATTGGGAAAAAACTGAACTCATTTTCAATTGGGAATGGGGCCGAATTTCGGCCCCTGAGAAGGTACTGATAAATCCCTGACATGGTACATTTTCTTTCACACCGCCTGTATGCTAGTATTTCGTTAACTTGAACATTTGCAGGCCTCTCATGATAATGTAGGATTCTTACAATTTTTAACTCACCTGAGCCAAAGGCTATACAATTTGATCTTTGACAGTTGCCTGTCGTTGTCGTCGGCGTCATCGTGAATGTTTCAGATTTTCTACTTTTCCGCAAGAACCACTGGCCTATTTCAACCAAACTTGCCAAACAGCATTCTTGGGTAAAGGGGATTCAAGTTTGTTTAAATGAATGACCACGACCTCTTTTAAAGGAGATAAAAATTATTGAAAATTAAATGTTATCTTTCAAAAATCTTCTTCTCAAGAATCATTGGTCCAGAAAAGATTAAACTTATTTGAAAGCTTCATAACACAGCTAGAAGATTATTCAGATCATTAGCTCTGGAGGTAGGGTTGGGCCACAATAGGTGATCAAAGTCTTAGGAATATAAAGGGTTTTTTTAAAAAAAAATCTTCTCAAAAACAACAAAGCCCTGAATAGTCATATTAATATGGCAGCATCCTCAGGTAATGTACATTCAAGTTTGTTCAAATCATGACCCCCCAGGGTTGGAGTGTGGCCACAATAGGTGATCATAGTTTTGCATAGGAAAAAATGTACACTTCACGAGGATCCATATTAACATGACTAATCAGGGCTTTGTTTTTCTTGAGAAGGATTTTAGAGATTTTTTTCCTACATGTTAATACGGGAGCATTGTCAGGTAGTGTAGATTCAAGATCGTTCAAAATATGGTCCCTAGAAGTAGCGTGGGGTAATAATAGGAAATAAAAGTTTTACATAGGAATATAATATATAATGGGAAAAAATATTCTACAGATGCAGAAAAGCAAATCCATCTTGATTCCGATGAGGGTTGTGACCCATAGGACTCTTGTTTCAGTATTTTTTTCTTCTTTTTATGCATTGGTTATTGGATATGCATTGGATATTCCAGAGCCAAACTGAGAAGTGGTGTAGAAGTGGGATCGTCCTTCGCGGCTTATTATAAGGGAGAACCCTTGGTGGACATTTGGGGAGGACATGCTGATGTGGCCACAAGGAGACCATGGACAAAGGACACATTGTCTATCATCTTCTCCTCAAGTAAAGGCGTCACCGCTCTATTAGTGGCATTGTTTGTAGACAGGTAAGGTTTACAACCAACGGAGTTCGTACTGTCAGGTTGTAAATTTTGAATTTACGTACCTGATGGCAGTAAATTGTCATGTTGTATTTTTTTTGTTTTTACTGCCACCCGTTTAATTCAAAATTTACATAAAACAGTACAACTAAATAGGAACCACCAAACTGCTTGTTGTTCTGAATGTAGACAAGTAGATGACTAGCTTCAATTAACCCTAACAAAAAATTCTATACTTAACTATAGTATACTATAGTTAACCATAGTTTACTATAGAATGAAAGTTTTACTACAATCAAAGTTTTTACTAACAGTGAAAAGTTTTTTTAACTATAGTAAATCTAAATTTATTATTATGATTTTCAGATTGCTTTATTTTATTTTCTCTAAGTCTTACATGCAATTTTTCAATATTAAAAGGAAATATTGCTTATTTCTTAAAATATTATTATGTTTAATTTAAATCATTGGTGGTTAATCAAAGCGATATTAAGGCCCTGAAACTCCCAACAAAAAAAAATATATATATAGATTAAAGTTTCATAGTAAATGAAAGTGTCAAAGTACTTAATAAAGTTACCTATAGTTAACTATATATAGTAAAGTATAGTTAACTATATTCAAGTTTTTAAAGGAAATCAAACAACCACTGATGGGGTTGCTGTAAGAGTCCCAATTTGCTGATGCCACTGTTTGTAAGCATTTTTAAAAAAGTAAGGTTATATATTGGTATATACAAACTTTTGAGACAAAAAGATAAATATATGCATGAAATTTTAAGATCCAGAAATTATATTTCTGAGAAATCCTTTGTAAAGTTAAAATTAAAAATCATAAATACCAATTGCTTAAACAAAAAAATAAATACCTCAATAGTAGCCAACTTTATTCAAGAAATCCATTGGTAACGCAAGATTTTAAAGTTTCGAGGTGTATAGGAGGAAATGGGAAACAGAGGATACAGGTTAAAGAATTTTCACATGTGTGTGTGTTTTTTTTTTTTTTTGTTAAAATGTTTACTTGACTTACATGTATTTCAGTGCATAAATTGTTGTAAGGCAGTAAGATGTTTTGAATCAAACAAATGAATAAAGCTTTTGACTACAGGTACGAAACGATAATAAACCTAATACTTACGTCTAGAGGTGTAAAAATCACTATTCAATCATTCATATCATATCAATATACATGTATATATTATAGAGGATGGTTGGATTACAATAAGCCAGTTGCCCACTACTGGCCGGAGTTTGGACAGAACGGAAAAGACAACATCACGGTAGCACTGCTAATTAGCCATCAGGTACAGTACTAATAAAGCCCCTTTTCATCCCATCCCCACCCCCACCCCCCCCCCCTCTGAAACAATAATCGTCAGATATTTTGGGGAAACATGGTTATAACAAAATTGATTATCTAAAACTGTAGCTGGGGATCAAGTGAAGATAAATGTTCTCTCCAGGTATAGAAATTCCATAAGTCACATTAACTTAACAGTATATTTTGAATAATAATTATATACCTACATGTATTTGTACTGTTTCTTTCATTTGAGATAGGGAGGTCTCTCTGTTACCAATGGCACAATACCAATGGAGTGGATTGTTGAGAAACCAGAAAAGGTTTGGGAATTTCTGGAAAAACAACGGCCAATATGGCCACCAGGCAAGTTTTGGTCGTCTTTTTAAAATAAATTCGGCATTAAAAAAGTTCTTTTTTTTTCATTTATATCATCGTGTCTTTACACTCAACTAATACTGACTATGCTTTGAATGGTTTAAATGAAGATGAACATCCCATCTGACTTCAAGCATGCCTATATTCACGCTCGATAATATACTATCTTCAATCTTGCTCATTTCAATAATAATTTTTAACCACTTCCGTTTCTAATGAATACGAAAGCCTATTAGGATCAAACTACGGTAAAAAAAAAAATTAAAAGGCGTTATAACGCCTTTTCAAAAGGCGTTATAACGCGAAAAAAGGCGTAATAACGCCTTTTGAAAAGTCGTTATAGCGCGGAAAAATTCGTAATAACGCAAATAAAGGCGTAATTACGCCTTTCCAAAAGGCGTTATAACGCGAAAAAGGCGTTATTACGCCTTTCTAAAAGGCGTTATAACGCCTTTCCAAAAGGCGTTATTACGCCTTTCCAAAAGGCGTTATTACGCCTTTCCAAAAGGCGTTATTACGCCTTTCCAAAAATTTATAATATAATTTATAATATTAAAACTATAATCTAAATATTGCATAAATAAAGATGGCTTTGGTTCAATCTTTCATATATTTAATATTTTAAAAAAACGCCTTTCCATTTTTGGATACAACTCCTTTTCAAACAGGCCGGTAGTACGAATGTGAGTGGGGGTCCCCCCCCCCCACTTTTTGGGAGAATAGTCTTGCTATAGTTTAAATATAAAAAAATTATTAATTGATTGCTTGGTCCCTTAATTAACATTTTGTTGCAGTATGGTTAAACTCGGGCAAGTCATTGCATTTAAAAAAAGTTTTACCGAAAAATTAGAAAAAGTTTCCCCTCAAGTTGAGGCAGTTTATTTTTTTTCGGGGGGGGGGGGGGTGTCTTGTTTTTTATGTTTGCTTGTCAAATTTATGGGACCCCCTCCCCCCACTTTAAAAGCACGGGCCTGTCAAATACATAATAATGGCCCTTCAAAAGGCATAATAACGCCCTTTTGAAAGGCGTATTAATGCCTTTTAAAAAGGCGTAATAACGCCTTTTGGAAAGGCGTAATAACGCCTTTTGGATAGGCGTAATAACGCCTTTTAGAAAGGCGTAATAACGCCTTTTGGAAAGGCGTAATAACGCCTTTTTTCGCGTTATAACGCCTTTTGGAAAGGCGTAATTACGCCTTTATTTGCGTTTTTACGCCTTTTTCCGCATTATAACGCCTTTTCAAAAGGCGTAATAACGCCTTTTTTCGCGTTATAACGCCTTTTGAAAAGGCGTTACAACGCCTTTTAATTTTTTTTTACCGTAGTTTGATCCTAATAGGCTTTCGTAAATGAAAACAATGACACTATCCACTCGGAAGCATTTTCAAGAGCACGTGTGCGAGATTTCGGTCAGATTGACACATAGAAAGTGGTAAAATATTATAAAATTTTGGATGTGAAAAGTATGGAAAATTGAACTTGGACCTCAAAAAAAAGTTAAATAAATATCTATATTCAAGTATATTTCCTTACATGCACATGGGTCAAGTAATAAATGTATGATTTGTAATCAAACTAATTGTTGCACAAAATTTATATGAATATAATTGTAATTAAAAAATGTGGAACTGTTTTATCAGGCACTGGCTATGGATACCACGGCATTACATTCGGGTTGTATGTAGATTCGCTTCTTACCAAGGCGGATCCTAAGCACAGAAGGGTGGACAAAATTTTTCAAGAGGAGATAGGCGATAAATTTGGTACAATCTACTAATCCATCAAAAATTATAATTCACTGAAAATATTGAATAATCAGTTTCTTCATTCTTAAAAGGAATGTCATTAAATATTTCATAAATGAAAGACTAGTATTGTTTTCATGGTCCATAGGTGATTTTAATCAGTGATTCAGTTTCATGATCTAGTATGTTGTACATTATGTACACGTATTCCAGGAATCGAGCTGTACAATGGTCTACCAAACCATCTGTTTTACCGGGCCACGAGACACGAACCAAATCCTCTGTACGTCACTCTCTGGAATGTTATTACGTATATGGATCTAGAGCCAATCAGTTTAATAGCGACTTTGGCTCTTTCGACAAATCCCCTTTTGACGAAAATGGCGAGTTCTGGAACAGATCAACTCCCATCGGTACAGTTGAATGAATTAAAAATTAATGTAGTTTTTTTTTTTTTTTGAATTAAAAAATCGAAGATGGTATAACTCGTACACAAACATTAGTTGGATTAAATTGAATAAGTTTGAATAAGAATTGTTTCTGTATTATACGCATGTTTTGCTTTTTTGTACGTCTTATAACTATGCTATTATTGTGTTCTCCAATCCAATTATTACGATTAATTTTATACATTCAATAATTGGAAATTTTAAACGGCTTATAAGTGGCATAAATTATCTGTTTCATTTTTAGGACCTTTCTTTTAACACACCTGAATACAGTAAAATTCCCCAGTCCTCCATGAACGGATATAGCAATGCAAGAAATTTGGCCAAATTGTTTGGAATCGTCGCCAATGGAGGAAAAACAAAGGAAGGGATCTTACTTTCAGAAAAGGTCATAGAACTGCTGAAACAGCCTCTAACCAGTGGAAAAAGCATGGACGGTGTCATAAATATAGAGTTTGGTTATGGAGTAGGGATTGGTAAAGACGATAAGGTACTAGTAAATTAATTAATCAGATTTAAATATCGCAATCATAGTATTACTTAAACCCCATACACGGGGTAACTGCAGTGGAAAAAATTATGGGTGCTTATATATATTTTACTTTATTAATACTACGGTGCAATAAAAAATTAATTCTATCCTCCTCAGCCCATCCTATATTACGATGACGACTCTCTGTTTACTTTTTAGCTCACCTCAACGAAGTGGGGGGGGGGGGGGTTATTACCCTCGGCACCAGTGTCGGCGTCCTAGGTTAAAGTTTTTGGAGCAGATTTCTTTTCAAGTATTTCTATGCCCTATATTAGTCAGAGATGCATGGAGGATGCTTCTAGTATGTTTCATTGTACATCTGCCAGTCAAGGTTTCAGATGATGTCTTTCATACGAATTGTTAGACCATTTTTTTTTCCATTTACCTGATAATGACAAAGAGCAGACAAAGGCAGTATTGACCAGTCGACAGGGTATGCTCACTCCTCCTTGGCACCTTATCCCACCTCTGTTTTCACTTTTCAGAGGTCCGTGTTTGCTCTGCTCATAATTTGTACATGTATTGTTTAAATTGGATTTTGAGCATGATTTCTGTTCGTTAATATTTTCGCATTTCATTAATGATACTTTAAATAATCTGTATGTATTTGAAAAGTTTTTCGCCTTATCTAAATCAACAAAGCCGCTTACAACTTCATTTGATATTTTCATCTTTCCTTGGTGAGAAGCACCAGTCAATAATGGGCTTTCATAAGTTAACATAAAACTTAGGTAATCAGATATTACAGAGCTCACCTCAACGAATGTTGTCTTTCAGTAAGGCAAAGTCCCAAACTAATTATCTAGTAGTTCACATCCCTAGATGTAACGTTTATGCAAGTTTGGTATGATAGGGCTTGCAGTTACTTGGGAATGGACTTAACTAAAAACTTTAAACTAGTTACTCATCCAGAAATCCAAGTCAAATGCAGTATCTGAAGCAAGTTTGAGAGTGTTCATCCTGTGATGCATCATCCATGCAAGTTTGGTTCAGATACCCCTTATAGTTTCCTGGTAATGGAGCTGCTCCAAAAACTTTTACCTGGTCACTCATCTGGAAAATCCAGCATCCGAAGCAAGTCCCGTAGTGTGCATCCTTAGATTATCATTGATGCAAGTTTGGTCAAGTTAGGGCTTCTACATGTAATAGTTACTTGGAAATGAGACCTGCTCCAAAAACTTTAACCTGGTCACTCATCCAGAAAATGTAGGTCAGATCCAGCATCCGAAGCAAGTCCCGTAATGTGCATCCTTAGATTATCATTGATGCAAGTTTGATCAATATAGGGCTTATAGTTACATGTACTTGCAAATGAGACCTGCTCCAAAAACTTTATCCTGTAAAGAGCCTTACCCTAGTCCAAGACGGCGACAGGCAAATACGCTTCGATTATTTTGCACTTTAATATATTAATTTAGCATTATACAAGCTTACATTATGAAATGGGTGGTTTTGTTTTAAATATTTTAAACAGAAGTACGTAACTATTGCAAAAATTTTGCATAAGCTGCGCTGATTTAATTCAAATTACGGGTAGAAAATTTAAACAAGGTTAGGGTAATGCAAATTTAAGACTACGGTAAAGATTTTGTGACCTCTTAAAATGCTATTTCAGAGTAGTTTATGTTTCTGTTTATAACACAAATTCAGTTCATGGAAACAGGGTCCCGGGGGCACGAGTGGGTTCGGGACCTCCGACGTTGGTGGACGGTGGGTTTAAGTTTATTTTTTAAAGACCGATAGAAAAAATAGAAAAGTTCTAAGGAATTTATTATGTCTGTTACAGGGGAATATAGTGTTTGGACATGATGGCGCTGGAGGTCAGTCCGCTTTTGCGGATCCTGCCCATAAGACTGGGATGGCTTACGTCACATCGCGGTTGAAGAGCATGACTATATCTGGTGACAAGGAGTTTCTGCAATATAAAGCTGCTTATTATCGCTGCCTAGAAAAGTTCCTACAAAAAACAACTTAGCGCTGGCTGATACTTAGAGTTTTATTAAAATTATTTACTCTTAATGAGGAACCAGTTGATTACGGGTTATATGGCCTTCCTGTCGGAGTTTCCTGTTTTCCCCTTTTCTTTTTCGTACGCTATTTCTTTCCATATACACATGTAGACTGTCCTTGCATGGATATCAAACCCGAAACTTAAGCCTTTCAGGCTTTGACTAGAGTTATTTAAACAATGCCACATTTGGATCAGTTCCTTTTATTCCATGGCAGAAGACGTACAGCATGTAGGAAATTGTATCTTGAAATAAAAATTGAACTTCAAGATGTTTGTTAAAATATTTTGTAATGCCCCGAAGAAGGAAAATAAAGGACATTATGTGTTCGGCCCGCCTGACCAACTTTCTGTGTGCTAAAAATTTAAAATGTGGTTTTAACTTTTGAACTGCAGTACATGTAAGTAAATTTTATAAGTTATAAATGCCCCTTCCATTGGTATCATATGTTCATAATTTGTCCAATATTGATATACAAGTACATGTACATAAGTAAGTGCACGATCGGGATGACATACCATGTACTGCTATCACGCTGTAAGTTTTGTATGTATTATATTTTAAAATAAGATAAATGCAAAATTTATAATATGACACCACAGTGTGGAACATCCCGATGTTCCTGTTTAACAGAAACTGTAGTAGTTTAGGACTTGATTGGGATGACAGACCGAGAACATTTGTATTTGTTTGCTTTTTGTGCATTTAATGGTGAGCAAAATGTTTATAATAATGCGGGCTTTGGTTACGAGTAAGAATGACGATATAAAAGCATATGAAGGATAATCAGTATAAACCGGATATAAATGCTACATGTACATGTATATGTCAAAAATACCATGCATCAAGGATTAGTATTTCTCACAGATATACCCAAACTGTTGCTTCCAAACTTTGTTATTATAAACAAACCTTACAGTGCTTAGATATTGAACATCTAAAACAGAATCCTCTTAAGTGTTCTTGCTCTTCATTTTCTTTTACGTACAGTCCCGCTGGGCAGGACATTACCGGTAATGTTACATGTAATGTACAGTGTAGTTGAAAATGAAGTCCTAAAAGCAATTATTTTAAAAGGTCCTTATTATGAATACAAGGAGTCCCAATCTTTCAATTGCGATAGAACCCCATTTCTGTTATGAATTCTGTAGAAGATTTTTGCCAGACGTTGAGCTAATTAAGAAAGGGAAGACCTGAACACTTTGTCAGAATGGATTAGGTGTTTTAGAAATACAGTGTACATTAAAGACCCATATTAGAAAGTTAAAAGGAAATACATGTTTGCGGACCACCAATCCTTCAGTTTTTACGAAATCGGAGGTGATAAGAGTTCGAAAGACTACATGAACAATATGTTATGATTCTAGCAGACAAAGCTTTTAACAATGTCGTCTTTGTTTGTAAGGCACATTGTTCTAACTGTATTTTAGAAGAACTTGGTTTTAAATTCTATATCTGGAAATCCAACTTATACTCACAGTTCACATTCTAAGGATGAAATTTTTCAAAATCACATTTCAGTGTTTAATAATTTAAATTTTAACGAGTCAACCAAGGTGAGTGCGATCTACCCTACTTACATTGTACTTGCAAACAAAGAAACATGTAAAATGCTGATCCAGCAAATGCTCTACCAAGCCCCTATCTTTACTCCTCACAAAAATATTAACCGCTGTAAAGGGGAACTTCAGACGTACTGTACTACAGCATATTCTAGAAGTGATGTAAATCAGATGTGGATTCTCAAAGAGAACTTTTAGAAAATTTAATATCACCATTTTTTTTCTCAAGTCAATATCATCAAAATGTACGACTTTTCTACACTTTATACAACCCTGCCTCACGATAAATTAAAAACTAGGGTTTTTGATATCATATATAGACAACTGCTTTTTCAATAAAAATGGAAATCGGAAATTCTCATATCTTGTGAATGGTCATCAGCAAAATTACTTTGTTAAAACTTAGACCCGATTCTTCATGAAAGTACTCTGAAGTTGATATTATAAGGATACAGGGTTCCTCATTAACACCATTTATGTAGTCTTCGGAGATCAGGTCTTCCAACAAACTGTTGGCTATTACGATGGGCACTAATTGTGCTCCTTTATAAGGCGACTTGTGAAGCAGAATTTATTCAAAAACTTCTCATGAAAAACGAAAACACTTATATACTGTGGCCTTTAACTCGACATTCAGATATCGACAATGTTTTATCAATTAACAATAGTAACTTCTTCCATTCAAGTGTCGACTCTGTATATTCCATGCCAGTGAACTTGAAATTATACACCACAGAGTCTGCCGCATTTCTTTCATATTTGGATGTTTTACTGACTATAGACGATAAGGACCAACTAACAATTAATTTGTAAGCAATTGTAAGCAGACATAACCTAGCACTGGGTCGTATTTTGATTGATATATTTCATTGTTAAGCCTTTGTTTTATACTAAATATAACTACAGAGTATTCCGTCTGCCTGATCATTACATAGGGCTCACTGCGTATGTGACCGGTCAACAGGGGATGCTTACTCCTCCTAGGCACGTGATCCCACCTCTGGAATTCCCAGGGGTCTGTGTTTCATGCCCTGATCACAAATTTGTATTGTTTATAATTTTTTATTAGGTCGATCACTTTTGTTATCTTCACCTTTTTCATACTGATGTAGCAACTGAATCTTAAATTCACTTAAATTATTATTCGAATATTAAGTTACCATCTTGCCAATTATTATAGTTGCAGAATCTATAGAACTGCACAAATATTGTAAATTGATAAGATGACCGCTTTGATAAATACATGCATTATTAATTTGAAAACTTTAAATTAAATACAACACACTTCTCTCTTCAAAAATTTAGAATTATCACAAGCACATTTGTCAAGCAACTATGCTAAAGTGCATTACAACAAAAATTAGAAGTCGGAAAACATCCCGAATTTTACATATTTATTTGTTTATTATTAAAGTAAACTTTGATAATTACATTAAGAAGTTGTATAACATGGATGGTAATCATGGCATATAACAATAGTCAAATTTAGTGCCAGGAAAAAAAAAAACGGGTCTACGAGTAAATGCCTGTCGTTTAATGGACTAAATTTGGCATTATTGATAAATACGTTCATTTCAAGCATTGAATTCAAGTTTCAGCTAATCAATTTTGATATGTTCTTAACAGTGTTGGCTAATTTAACGTTAACGGAGATATATATCGTCTTTTAGATGTCGGCATATCCTCAGATATTGCTTAATAACAAAATGAGGAAGTGGATGAGAAGAAATTTAAATATACATATGCTCAAGAGGCCGTGATTGCTTTGATTAGTGGACAGACCGCAGTATAGACCGTCCTGCATCCGCATTGTCCCCTGCATAGATATCCTACAATAAGTTCATAATGATTTTCACTAAATCACTTCCTTGTGTTGTATATTGTGGTTTACATTGCAAGTATTTCATTATCAGCTAAATACTCGCACTGTTCTCTCATTTTCGTCCCTTAATTGACAAAGACATTTTCAGTCTTTTTGTAACATATAAATAAATTTCATTATACAGTATTTAATTGAAGGTATTTATTGATTATTTTAGTGCAACAAGGTGTTACAGGATGTTAAGCACTTATTATATTTCTTCATTAATTTAATAAAAAAAAATTAAGCATCAGTAAGTTTGCACAGAGTTATTGTTTTCAGGTACCAGTTTAATCACTGATCATGATAAAGGTGCTCTGGGGGGTTTCAGATGTTTTATAATAAATGAAATCGAATAAAACCCGCCGTATTCAAAAACTGTTTATCGTATAGCAGGCGATTGTCTATTTTGCCACATTACCCGTTACCTTGAATATTCATCTACTCGCGGACCTTAATTCTGCTTTTTTTATATTCATACAAATCGTATCGTAAGGTAGAGAAGCATACTTTTTTGGGAAGCCCAGTATAATGCTCGCTGTATCCGTTTTCACTTACTGTTCTTGCTAAGTGTAAGAGGCTCCAGCGACAGACTTATTTGTGTTTCCGTTATATTTCCTGTTAGTTTTCACATGGCTGTCATATCCTTTATGAGCATCTGTATTGATTGCGCGTCAATTAATCATATGCCCTAAGGAATGTAATTAATTGCCAATCTTTGTCCGATCGCAATGGACGTAAACAAAACCATAGGAAACCCAGAGATCTCCAAGAACTCCTCCGTTCTGAACCTGACTGATCTTCAACACCAGAAGGAGGCGCTCCAGAGGCTGAACGATCAGCTGGCACACCTGCTAACTCCAGTAATTGCCTTCCTAAGCCTTCTCATGGTGTTTGGAATACTGGGAAATCTGCTAGTTTTGTACGTATATGAATTCAGATTTAAACGTTCCAGCTCGCGGACTTTCATTTTATGTCTTGCACTACTGGATTTTGTAGCCTGCGTAATTGGAATGCCTTATCATATATACGATATGTACCATACCTACACGTACTACGACGAAGCTTCTTGTAAAGGACTGTCCTATATTCTTGGAGTTACGGTGACAGCATCATCTTTTGTACTGGCACTAATTTCCATAGACAGATATCGCAAAATATGCAAACCGTTCGGAAAACAGATCTCAGATCTTGGAACTAAGAAAGCTTGCTTTGCTTCAGTTATTTTTGCAAGTCTATTTGGTATTCCAAATATTATTATGTACGGCAATTCTTCAATAGAGGTACCCGGTGAAAATTTTACTGGTGTGGAATGTTATATAAAAGACGAATACGAATCTTCGGAGTCCTACATTTACTTTGGGCTTTTCTTTTTTCTATTCATTACTACAACAATTGTGCTTATCGTTCTTTATTCTCTGGTGGGGTTCAAGATCCGACAACGAGCGGCTAATATTTCCACAGATTCTGGAAGCGTGAGAAAAGAGAAAATAACAGCTAAAGGCCGGAGGTCCTTCAGCTTCTGTGGGGGGTCGGATCCAGAAACAACGGACGAAATTTTATCTGAGACCGACGACAGTCTGTCTACCATCAAAGTAAAAACGATTTCCTACAAAAAAGGAAGCAACGAAACGCACTCCGAGTGTAGAATGGAGTATGAAACCGCAGTGACACCAATTTTTAAGGGTGTTATAGAACAAGAAAAAGAGTCAAGTTCTAGTCAGAATTCCCACACAAGGTCCTCAATGATTCGGAATAAAAAGAAAGGTGATCCAAGGAAGAAGAAGAGTTTGCTAGACTTTTACAAACGACAAACAATGTCTATGAGTGACGATGACAGCGAAGAATGCAGGCAATCTGTTCGGGGTTCCTTATCTGTCAAGTCGCTTTCAAAGAGACAGAAGAGAACCGTACGGATCACTGGAATGTTGTTTATGATCACGTTGATCTACATTGTCAGTTTCTTACCCCATCTTGTGCTCTTGGTTCTTGAATTTATGGACCCTGACAGCTTTGAAAACCTTTCCCCGATGGCTTTTACGGGGTATAACTTTCTTCTCAGATCGTATTTCATAAATAATATGGCTAATCCTTTTGTCTATGGATTTCTGGATCCTAAATTTAGACACGAAGTTTTGTTTCTTTTTAAAAGTATTGTAAATTGCAAACATGGAAGAATCTTTCGAAGATGATTCTTCACTTCCAAATGAAATTAAATTGCATTTGTAGTTATTGAAAAAGTAGATTCTAAAGCCATCAAAAAGCTCTTTGACGTCTTCTGTATGCTTAATGGCGTATTGTTTGTTTTATGCTGATGTAAGTTTTTGTCTTTCAATTCTGTACTGATTTGATAATTCTCCAAAAAATGAAAATTTAAGGTAGATGCATCAATATTTTAATTTTGTCATTTTTAAGTTTCTTCACACCTTTGCTCCATGGACTGTCAACATGTGAAAGTCTGCAGGCCGTTGTGATTTAAAAAAAAAATAAATATCAGTTGAGGAAGTTATATATACTTGATATGCAGTAGGCTTAATTATATAAGTAAAGAGGATTTTTCAAAAAATTGAATACGAATCTTAGTCATAAAATGTAGTTCAATGGTTTTTAGTGGAAAATACAATGTAATATAATACAGATAGTGACATTGTATTCCCAAGTGTTTAAAACACTACTTCAAAGTTTAAGTGATACCTTATCACATGCACATCCGAAATTAAGTCTGAAACAAATATTGTTTCATTGTATTATATTTTAAGCGCTGCTCTTTTCTTAGTTCACACTGCGTATTTTCCATTTTATATATTGATCTTCTGTTATTATTCTGTTATTTTTCAAAAGTTACAATTAAGGAATTACTGATGAATTTTCCCAGTGCAGTTTTTTATAACCTACACAATTTATTGTTGTTCTGAAGTTTGTTTTGAAATAAAATGTTTAGGAAAATTTGTGTGATATTTTTCCTCATGTAAAGTTAAAGTATGTACTTAGTACACCGAGGGCAAAGGCATTATCTCCATAACATGTCATAAAACAAACGGGATGTTTTGCATGTAAAGTAATGATACCCCCGGATAAGGATTGTTTGTACATAAAAATAAAACATACAACTGTTTTTATTGTATATAAAATGCCGAGATATCAATATGAAATATTTAAACAAAATGTCCGTCATTTTTATCATTTTGTACGTAAACAAATCGAAGCACATCCTATTGTTGTTATTACAGACATTGTGACAATCAGCCGTTGTGTAGATTGTACGAACTGACGCAAACCTTCAGGATATTATCCGATATAATGAAGGTAATCTACGTTAATTAAGCTTCCTAACTTGCTGTTTCACCACTACTGATGTACAGTCAAAATTTTTGGGTGCGTATACATTTTCAAAATTGTCATTATCGCTACATACTCATTACCGCTACAAAAAAAGGTTACATTACCGCTACATTTAAAAGTATATATTACCGTTAGATTGCCTCTTTCGTTAGCCATCGGCTTATGTATGTACAGATTGATTCAAAGTACAACATATACATGCACAAGACCTTTTCCCCCTACTCATCACGGGGAGGTGAAAGTAGAACTTTGAGCAGGATTTTTTAACAAAAATTTTTCTATATAAATAATGAAACATTTTAGAAATATTTTAAAGCTTTAGAAAATTTTTAAACACACAGTCTTGACGTATTGCTGTCTGGAAATTTCATCATTTTCATGTTTCGCTCAGATCCAAAATTCTGCGATACTACATTCGCAGTACAGTTAAGGCAACATTTTCTTTCAAAAGGCACCAGAAACGAGACACTTAAAATTCAACTGTCTTATTTTTTAGCACGAAACTCTATTTGAAATATCTTAATGGCATTTTGAAGAGTATGTTCATCGCTTTTCAGATCAGTAATTTTTTTCATCATGTGACCCTCTACAGTCACGTGGGATCCGATTTAGGGTCAAAATATGAAATGTCAAATTTAACCAAAAAGTGCAAGGGCAAGGCAAACAAAAAATAAACTGCACAATGTTTCAGTGTGTCCCTTGATATCTATCCTATCTCAAAACTGATGCTCAGTCAGTTAGATTTCTGAGATATTCAAGTTAATCATTGAAAACAAACACCAGTATTAAAAAAATAGGGTATTTTCATAATTCCATCGGAAATTATAAATTATCTAATGAATTACAAAGAAATGAGCACCACTTTTTAAAAACTATACAGTAAAATAAAGAATTTAAAATAAAAACCTACCTCTTGGGTTGTCGCCTTGCCCTTGCACTTTTTGATTAAAAATTGAAATCTTGACACATTCATTCTAAATATAGTTTTCAAACGCATCATTGACCCAGCATGGGAGATAACTCTTTAGTTCTTAATAGAGTTTGTGTACCTCGCAAAGTTTAAACAAATAATACCTACGGACTGTGCTGGGCTTTTTTTCACTAAATCAGAACGGTATGCATAAAAAATCCTTGACTTGACTTTGTTTTGTATGTCTTCGTTCTTTTATACGCTTCACAAGACGTCTTTGACACCTTCCGCATTTCCTCCATGCACAGGCCTCTGAATTTCTATCAATAAGCCGTTATATGATTCGGAGTAATATATATATATATATATCCCCTCTATTATATATAAATATATGTATTTATATATAGAGGGGGTATATATATATATATATATATATATATATATATATATATATATATATATATATATATATATCACTCTGATCAATCATATAACGGCTTATTGATAGAAATTCAGGGGCCCGTGCTCCACGATATATAAACGTTTTTTCACAATAGGCCAAAAATTTGCCGCACTACAATCATACCCATGGTAAAAAATATTGAAAGATTCAATCATTTCTAATAAACAGTAGACAGGCCCTATCAATTAATTAAATATTTATATCCCCCTCCCCCAGTACACAAATAAAAAAAATCAAAACTCAATCTGACAGAATTAAGTTTTTTTTTTTTTTTTTTTTTTTTTTTTTTTTTTTTTTTTTTTTTTTTTTTTTTTTTTTTTTTACATATATTCTATGTGATTCTCGTAGTAGCTATCAAACCTTCTACTGTTCAGGGATTCTAGACTAAGTTAAAAGTTTTGTAGAACCAGGAGGAAGGGATTGGAGTGCTTACACCTGTAATCAGTGATGATTCTGTTCCGATATTTAGCGGAATTCCGCTAATTTGAATCCAAGAATCCGATATAATTTACGAGTGCTTTCCGATATTTTGGAACTTTCTATTTTTGCAGTGATCCCTTTCCAATTTGTCCGGGTTAAAAAAAAAAATTCAAATTGTTTAGTGCGTGTTTCGATCTAATCAGCATTATTCTGAAGTTTCCTTTCATCTCCAAGTAAGGTAAACACAAACAATAGGGATGATAAAGACGTCCTTACAATGGCGATGCGGTTCATTCAGCCAGGTCATGATGTAAAAGTTGTTTGAACACTTATATTTTTTCACTCAATTTAACCTATTTTGGGCTTGCTAAAGCCCATATTTTGTCAGCCCTTCAACCCCTAACCTATTTCAGATATTTTAGCCAATTCACGGAATCATCACTGTGTAATTAATAACCGTTTCCCTTTCTATAGATCTAACCCCCTCCCCCTACCCCAACCACCACCAGTTTGCTTCTGGCTACTTTGATACCATATACCGTACTTGCATGTTAAAAATAAATTATTATACCGAGTTTATATCAGGTTTTACTTCTTTGGGTACTTTAGCACAAATCACATGGGGGGGGGGGGGGTAGTCTCCTTTTTTTTGAGTTTCTATCAATCCATGCACAAACAAGATAAACATAGGAAAAAATTTGTAATCAAGAAACAGATACTCTGTTAAAAAAACAAGTGGACACAATATTCATGCTGAAATTTAGATCTTTTTGGTATACCTCAAACAACAAAATACATGCACGTTAAGGTTTCAAATCTTAATACCCTTCAAACTTTCACACCACTGTACAGTTAAAAAGTCAAAGTATTATATTTGTAGAAAATATATTTAATAAACACAGCTCTTCAAATTCAAAGGCAGGCTGTGAAGGTAATTCTGAGCAGGTGCAAAATTATTCCGTTCACGAATGTTCCTTTGGATGAAATCAATTCTGAAAACAAAATGAAATACCATTATGGAAAGTTCATTGGTGTTGAGAAACATAGAAAGCATATACATCTATATATTTTAATTCTACTGTTTTTATTATCTAATCATTTCAACAATCTTGCCAGGAATATGTATAATGGTTTATACATTTAGCTAATGTGGAGCAGGCCTGTAGGAAGCAATTACAGTTGGGGGGGGGGGAGCATACATTTTTAGATGGGGGGTAATATCAACTACCAAAAATTCCTTGACAAGAAAAAGAAATAAATAAATAAAAATTAAAAAAAAAAAATCATCAGGGTTTATTACTGAGGGTGCACAAGCATATAGCTATGGTTTTTATAGTATTCTATATGTCGGTAAAATTATCCCCCCCCCTCCCCCACAGTTCCTACAGCCTTGAGGAGCATACCTTTTTACTTGATTGGTGAAAACATGTGCTGCCTGAATGAATGAATTGCTCAAATTGTTTGGGAGGAGCTACAACACAATATATATGTAATGAGTGAAATCCATTATGATTACTATTGTAGAATGAAATGACATTGCATTGTGCAAAACATTAACCATGCTACACTTTATTTTCTGAAATTCCTAATTTAAATGGAAACAAACTTTTCATACATAATTTTTCTGGAAAATTGAAACCTATAACATTGGCAAGAGCAGATTGGTAGCTATAGTTAAAGTAAAAAAAAAAAATAAAATCAATATACTAGAGGTAACATTTGATTCTTTCACCTAAACAAAATTGAAAAAAAAAATATTACACTGGCATACTATATAATGAATGTGAGATTTTTTTTTTACTATTTACTAGTAGTGATCATACCTAGTGGAGAAACTGATGCATCGATCTATTTTGATAATTCTGGGTGATGTAATGCCAGTTTTATTCATTCTTCAGCCTGTAGACAACACTTAGCAGCTACAATGAAAAAAAAAATGCACATATAAACAGTTTATAAAATTAATACATGTATATACATATAAGACTGACTTAATTTATGTGTAGTCAGACTAATGAAAATTCAAATATTTTATCTTCATTAATATAGAAATTGTACAAATTTACAGCCTAGTGATCTACAGATAGATACAAGTTGTAAAATAAATTTAAAATATGAAGCACTGGTAAAAAACTGAAATCTTAAATTTCATTTATTTTTGATTGGTATTTTTGATTGTCAGAGGTATAAATTAAAGTTAACAGGGTCTTGAACTCTTGTATTTACAGTGTACATACATTGTGCACTGTGCAGTTTGACTTCACATACATGTAGGCCTATACACTACAAGTGTGACTACATCTAAATTATTATTTGATATCAATTCATGTCATGCTGTGCATTTTATATTATGTAACATGTTTGTATGATAAGAATTCTGTATATTCAGTGCAAATTAAATTGTTAAAAGTGTGCAACTTTTATTATGTGTGGTTGGGTGGGGGAAGGGGGGGGGGGGCATACACACAAGGCACTGCATTACAGTTTGTGACGGACTGTAATAATACATGTTATTGTGCATGTACAAGGTTATTTTACATTGATGTAAACAATAGTATGTTTAGGCCTACATGTTGATACATACGCGCATACACACCTAAATGAACAGAAATGGACCTGGCCTAGGGAGGTGGTGCAGATCATACCAGTTTTCCATGATTTCCCGAAATAAAGTCATCATCTTCTTACCAAAGCGATAAACAAAGCTTAGGCTTCTTATTTTATCCATATCTTCTTTAAAGATTGCCTGCTTGTTGCATTTATCCACTGCATATCTCAGCTCCTGTCGCCACATTTTTAGACGTAAACAACATTCCGTGTCACCGAGTGCAAGCGCTTGGCTGAAGCCGAATGCAGCCAAACGACACCAAAAAAGAGAATTATTTCGAAGACATTTTGTTTTTATATAAAAGAAAATCACTAATGGTTATTTATTTAAACATGAAAATACAGACATGCATTACAAATTCTCGCAATCATCATTAAATGACTTTTTTGAGCTCTATTTCCTTATATAGATCTATCAGGGCGGAGCAACTGTCATGACGTCAAACCTCATTATGACCTCATTACCATATTATCTTCATGTGTAGCCTTAACTGTACTGCGTTGTGCGTGAATTATATTGAAATGGAACTCATATTCCGTGCCATTGCTGGCAGATTAGATATGTAGCGGTAAAAGTTGTAATCGGCAACGGTCTTATTGATAAAATGTAGCGGTGATAATCACCGAAATTTCGAAGAAATGAAGCGATAATGAATTGAAATGTGTGTGTCATTGGAGCGGTAATGTTGACCTCCCAAATTTTTATATCGGTTCAGAAAATTTTCATTTTTTCAATAACAATTCTTCATAGTACTTTTTAGAAATATCCAAATGACATTCTGTCACCGTGTATTTACTGGGTATAATTATAAAGCTTGAATACCTCAATTAGAAGCATTATATAAAGTGCCTTTTAAAGTTCATTAATTTGATGATTTCAATTTGAATTTTCATATATCTTTTCTCTATGAAAAAGCGCAAAGTTATAAAGATCTGATTATATTTGGTCTAGTATTTATGAAAAGAAAATGCTAATGGAAGCGTAATTTTTCCACTCTCCTTTTATCACCATTCGGAATCATGAAAACTATACTAATTTATTTAAAATTTGTTTCATTCGGGAAGCTGTATGGCATGTATGCACGTTTTCAACCATCCCTGTCACTTGGGAATTTTGTACGAGTATATATGTAAGTTTAGCTGCATAATAAATTATAACACTTCCTAGGGATACATATAGGTACAAATCCTTCAAAATTAATACAACATTCAAACACACTCCTCACTGATTGTGGACAACCTAACAGACAAACTCTACTCAGATATAAAGATAAGATCTCTGCTCTCCATAATCATTACGATATTAAAATACTCAAATGGATAAAGTCTTCAGGGCTTTTATTGGGTTTAAGTTCATTATTTATTTTTTTAAAGTAAGAATCCTCTTTATTTCGCTTGGACTTTATATTATACATGTAGATGCATAGCTATAATGAGCACTGAGCCCTTTACTATACTTTGACACAAGAAAGACTACAACAATTATCATTTTCGTTACCTTTGGGGTCATGGTGGAGCTAAGTTGACAATATATGGATAAAACTGTAAATCATTAAAAATAAATTGCAAAATATTTGCATCATAATTATAAACCCTCTATCATTATTTAAAAAATACGTTCCCTTTGGCCAAGGAACTGTTCCAAGGACAGGGCATAGTTAATTATGTAAAGGAACTTCATACTTGTCACGTATGTTTTGAGATGTTCGTGACACCCCGTTCAACCCGCTTAACTGTGCAGTGTAAGATATTAAGAGGTACTTAAGTTATAACGTTTTTGCATGTGCATGTATTATCTTTTACTCATATGGAGACGCCACCACTAGCCGAAGAAGGGCTGCAAATTTAGACCTGTATTCGGCACTAAAGCCTTTGAGCACTAAGGGATCTTTTTCGTGCCAGCACCGACTGCAACACAGGACCTCGGTTTATATTTATACGGTCTCCAAAGGACCGGTTTCCACGTCGTACAGTGGATTCGAGCCACAGGCACTTGCTTCTGTAATAATTTTTTTAACCCTTAGTATAAGAATAACACAAGGTATCTAACTCCGAATTACATGGAATCCCCCCCCCCCTCCTTGTTCATGGATTTTTATTGGCTAAAACCTGTTTCTAAAATTACATCGGAAAAATATCGTAATGTTTTTAATGGGAAATAAAAATAATTTTATCTTTTCACTGCAATATTAAAACATTAGAGTTGAATTTTTAAACCCACTCATTTTTAAATCTGCTCTCTGTCCGAGATTATTCTCTTTAGAGAAGTGGACAGGCTTTCGCCTACATCCACTTCTCTTCGCAAGCCTTCATGTTTTGATTCTGGAAAACGTGTAAATCTCGAACCGGTGACGGTCTACACTTCAACTGACATTTCGTCTAAAATACGTCTGAATGTACGTAATAGACGTGTTATATTATCAATTTTAACATAAATACACACAATTGTCACAAGAAAACTGACCTTTAAGTATTGTTAATCCATTTTCACAAGTTCTCCATCCCGGATTTAAACTAATGTTATCTACCACAGCTTATAAGAAAAAATTGAAAATTTTAAGTCGGATAATTTGGAAAAATTGGCGAAGACGTATTTTAATGTTCAAGAAAAGTTTTTGACAATTCACTTTTGATTTAGCATATTATTCAAAATTAATATTATTACCTATACTTATTTTTACTATTTTAATACAATTTAAATGTAAATTTGAGCTTAAAAAATACTTCATTACTTCCTCACTGACAATACTAAAAAAATATTTTCTTTTATTTTTAAACGATATTAACTCTACCTTTCCCGAGAAATGAAATAAGATTCAAAACAAAGATCAAAAGAATTTGAACGAAACTTGAGGAAATACTGTCTCGTTAGTTTAAACAGAGTAGACGATTTCTCTCGTTTCATTATTATTTTGTAAAAATAGTTTCCATTTTTATCCGAATTAGAGATTTTTGAATACTTCAAGAGTTACTTGCACATAATTTAAATCCGGGATGGAGAACTTGTGAAAATGGATTAACAATACTTAAAGGTCAGTTTTCTTGTAACAATTGTGTGTATTTATGTTAAAATTGATAATATAACACGTCTATTACGTACATTCAGACGTATTTTAGACGAAATGTCAGTTGAAGTGTAGACCGTCACCGGTTCGAGATTTACACGTTTTCCAGAATCAAAACATGAAGGCTTGCGAAGAGAAGTGGATGTAGGCGAAAGCCTGTCCACTTCTCTAAAGAGAATATGTCCGAGATTTGTACATAACCTTTTCTTGGTGTGAGTCGAATTTTCCAGTCGGCGAGCAGAGTTTTGACGCTGTTTACGGAGATAATAGACAATAAAGACAAGTATGCCATGTACGGTTGTGCAGATAACGTAGAAGGCAATGGTGATAAACAATTTGCCAGTGCGTTTTCTCTGAAAATGTAAATGACTGCGATTCTGGGGAGGGAGGTTCTTCATGTAATTCGGAGTTGGATATAACCGAACTTAAAACTTTGGAGACTTATAGTTCGGAGTTGTGTTATTATTATATTATGGATTAAAAAATTATTACAGAAACAAAAGCCTGTAATTCCAACCCGTGACTTAGGATCAACTCCTTATGCCGAAGAAAACGCTCTTTTTTGTAATCTTTTATTAATAATCATCATTATATACAGTACAATTTTTAAGAAAAACATTCATAACAGAGAAACAAAAACTTCAAAAAGAAAAAATAAATAATAACACATCTTCTGTTTTTTTTCCTCTTACCACTGCGCCACTCGGGCGACTGATAGTCAACGTAAAAAAAAAAAAGAAGAACGGTTTCAATACAAATCTGGCTCTGTATATATTTGAAATATGATTCAAGACTTATGCTTTCTGAACTTTTCAAACTTCATGCAGTTAGGTCTGATACAGAACAATTTCTTATGTTACATTCTTAATGTTAATTGCGACATTATGGACTTGTTACTTTTCCGTATTTTCTTGAAAAGTTGCAGAAGACTTCAATGTTGAATGGCATTTTCTTTCAGACAATATAGACCACATGCATCGCCCATAAATATTTTAAGAAAATTTTAAATGTTTTTTCTATTTTAACTTGGAAAGTAACAGAATAGTGACGTCGTGTTTCTACAACGGCCCACCTATACGGCCCAACTAATGAGTTATGGCATTCTTTCACGAGTTATAACATTTATATATACAACTTATATTTAAGCAAGTTTCAAAACCTCCTGAAAATTTCAAATTTTAAGGGCATAATAAAGCCAAAACTACCCCTTCTTCTTTCTCATTTACTGAGTATGTAATAAAAACATTTCATTTAATATGGCATATCCGAAGAAATTCCAGTCGTAAAATCTTATTAATCCTTGCTCTTAAATCATATAAAGATATAAGCTATCTAGATATTGGCTATTATGTAGTTTATAATTCAAATCAAATATGCCCATACTTAAAATTCATACGATGATTTGCATGAAACTAATGATGTATATGTACCATATTTAATGCCCAAAAGGCATTAGAAATATTGGCATAAATGAAAAGTAATATCTTCAAATGTATGCACATATCTTTAATGAAATCTCATTACAAGCTGACTTACAAAATTCTGCAAAAATTAAAAGAAGTTCTTATGTGGTGTTGAGTGAGGTCACCTCTACATTGTCAATAGCAACAGCACCAAGGTACCCAAAGGAACTGAATTCACCGCCAACATAGCCACGGAACATATACTGATGTAAAGAAAGCAGAGTATTAATATATCTCAGAAAATTGTAATAATTTAATTATCAGGAAGATGCAGCATTTATCGGGCTTAATTATATACAATTGTATTGCTGAAAGCAATACGGTCATTGTTTAAAAAATATTGCTGTTTTTCAGGACAATACGAAAATTTAGCCACCTTAGGAATACAATATTCAGCGACGAGTCCGAAGGACGAGGTAAATATTTAACTTCGAGGGTGGCTAAATCATCATATTGCGTAAAACACAATAATTGTTTTATTATATTATTTGATAATTAAACGATACAAACTCGTTGAACAAGCTTTACCTTTCTTGTTTGTTTGTTTACATTTGTTTTTAGTCTCAGCCAAAC